TCAAGATAGCGCTATAACATGTTATAACTCGTAGTCTGAACGTACTATAACAAACTTTCAAGATCACGAAGTAAGATATAAAATTAAGTTTAAAGATACTATTTAAATTTCTTTCATCAATTCGTACGATTCTTTCAATTAAACATTTCCGAAAAGGATCGTTGTTCCATTGCACCACAAGTATCGTTCATTTTTTAAACAGTCCCGACCGAACTCTAATACGTTTTAATGCGAGTTTTCCACAATTTACGAGTTTCAGGCCAACCGAGTACGGTGCTGACTGTGCGGAAGGCTGACTGTTAAATACAGTACCAGATACATCCAATCTAACTTCTGAATCGACGCCATGCTCGACTTGAATCACAGTCAAGAGCGGAACCGCCTTACTATAAATTGAATTCGATTATTCACAGTGCACTGGAGGAAAGCTTCGTCCCAATTCAATGCACTCGTCTTGACGTTGCAGCGGAACCAAAGTTGAAGGGACCGGGTAGTTTTCCTTTCCGAGGGAACGTCAATAATGAAAGATCATATTACCTACTAACTTCTTCGAAATTGATACGAGTTTTCTTCTTGTTTAGTTTACGGCCGATGACGCTCGGTAGTACGGAAAGTTACAAGTAGAATAGTCTGTGCGTGCGTTATGTTGGTATGTTGATGCAATCGACACCGTGGGGGGCTGCCTACCAATATGGATATACGTTTTCGTTATACATGCCTTTTGTCGGCAAGCGCGTGCCTCAATATTAAAAAGTGGTCCTTCCTATCCTTCATTCATATTTACTTCCATTTGGAAGTTGGCCAGTGTCTATAGGTGGATTCACAACAGGAAAGTTTGGAAATCACGACGGTTAGTGAGAAATGTGAATTAGAGCATTTATTATCCATTCCACCTTAAATGGAACATGTTTATAGACTGATGTAAGTTTTTAAAATTTTGCTGCTCAGCCAAATAAAAAATATTGTAGAAATATAGTACAGCTTATTATTACAATCTAATTAAACCAATTGTTCACATTATAAAGCCAATGGTTATTTAAAATATGGTTTTGCACAACATAATTTATGGTAAATAATAATTTTATAATAATAATTTCTATGCATCATTTAGCATATTACGATCTGGCTGATACCATTTGATTTATTGTTTGTGTTTTTTTGTAAAGTAAGGAAGGCTTCAAAAGCCCGGCCTGTCACTGTGTTGCGTGTGTGTTCTCCTTCTGGCACAGTGTGGGACTCTTAACCACTAAAACCTTACTCGCCTCTAGCCACTATCCCCCCTTAACTCCCCTAGGGTATTTCGTCGGGGGGGAGGGGGAGAGAGGGGGGGGGGCTGTTCTTAAGCACAGCTCAGCTAGCCGGCGTTGCTAACTCACTGATCATCTCTCCATTTTCGCTACAACTCAGACAAAATTTGCGTCACTGCCCTGCTGACGACGCTCCACGTCCTCTCATCCCGGCACATTTCACTGACGACATTTCCCGCGCTAAGGGGCGGCATCTCCACTCGCACTGCCTCAAATCTTGGGCAGTCGAAAACTACGTGCTCAGGCGTTTCGTCCACGTTGCCACACTCCGGACAGAGGGGTGACGTTGCGTGTCCGAAACGATGCAGGTACTTCCGTATGAGGCGGAACGTACTGTTCAATTTTTTTTGGTTCTTCTTTGTTTTCAGCGCTATCTGCAGCTTCTCTCCTTGCATCTAGTTGGAACCGTGTCGATCGCCTCGGTTGCCAACATTTCCACCTCTTCCAACGTCTCGCCTACTACCGCCAAGACGACGTCGCCCGCAAATCCTACAATCTCGACTTCTTTGGGCAGCTTCATCGTTAGCACGCCGTTGTACATCGCGTTCCAGAGCGTTGGGCCAAGGATGGAGTCTTGTGGCACACCCACCGTGATCCGGATTGATTTCTCGCCCATGTCCGTCTCGTAGACTAGAACCCGGTTCTGGAAGTAACTCCTTATAATGCTACACAGGCAATCAGGAACCCTCATTCCATGCAGTGCTTTGACGATGGCCTCCCAACTGGCGCTGTTGAATGCGTTCTTCACGTCGATCGTTATCACGGCGCAATATCGATCTCCTCTTCGCTTCTGTTTGGACGCTTTCTCGGCACCCTCGACCACTGTCCGAATTGCATTCACCGTTGATCTCCCTTTCCGGAATCCGAACTGCTTCACCGACAATCCGTGCTCACTTTCCGTGCATTTCGTTAGCCTGTTGAAGATGATCTTCTCCAATAGCTTTCCAACTGTATCCAGCAAGCATATAGGCCTATACGATGCTGGATCCCCCGGCGGTTTTCCGGGCTTCGGTAGCAGCACTAGCTTCTGTATCTTCCATCGGTCCGGGAAGTGACCTTCATCCAGACACTTCTGCAGCACTATCCTGAACAAGTCCGGGAACGCCACGTTGGGGATTCCATCCGGACCGGGAGTTTTCTTCGTCTTCAGCCCTTTCGCCACTGTTACGAGTTCCTCGTTGGAGACTTGTCTACCTTCGGTGTTGTCTGCCTCTACTTTGCCGTACGGTGTAGGTGGCCAGGTCATTTGGTCGTGCTTCGGGAAAAATCCCTCCACGATGACTTTCAGCTTGTCTGGGCACATTTCAACGGGCGTCGTTGGACCTCTAATCTTCGCCATCGCGACTCGGTATGTGTCACCCCAGGGGTTGGCATCAGCGTCTAGGCACAGCTCATTGAAGCAGTTTGACTTGCTCAGCTTTATCTTCCGTTTTTGAGCGGCCCTGGCTGCTCGAAACACCACCCTTCGCTCTGCCTGTCTGCATCAGTTCTTGCTCTCTGAACTCGCCTTCTGGTTCGGAGACAACTAGCGCGAAGGGTGCTAAGTGCCTCGTTCCACCAGTAAGCTGGGCGCCGTCTGTTCCTTGGCTCCGATTTCCTCAGCATGGTTGTGTCGCATGCCCTCGTTAACGATTCGGTCAACTCGTCCGCGCTTTGGTCTGGGACGCTGCTGTCTACCCGGAGAGCTTCTACAAAGAGGTCCTTGTCGAATGCCTTCGTCTTCCACCTCCGCTTGCTTACTTCCGTTTTCCACATTTCCGTAGGTATCCGTTGGCCGAAGCTGTACCTAATCGCCTGATGGTCACTATGAGTGTACTCCTCACACACTCTCCATCCAGTTCATACTTGCCACAAACGACGGACTGCAGAAAGTGACAGTTTTATTATGGAAGAACTCTCTCTACAATGTCGCACTTATGGTCATTGTAAACAGCTTAAGTCCGGGAGTTCGAAGGAGATTTTTTCAAACCTGCCATGTATTTAGTTTAATTTTGATATTTAATTTTTTTTTTATAATTGGAAAGCTCTCACCATATTCTGGTCTTCCGTAGTCGTTAATTGCTTCTTTTGGAATCCCTTGGAATTTTTCTCTAACGCTTCGTATTTCATTCCGGCAATTTCCTTCCGTAGATCGTCTTTGGTTGGTTCTAATATAATTCCGCCTTTTTTTGTCGGTTTCATGTTCACCATTTGTCATTAAATTTTCATGGTGATCTGGGACGAGGCTTACGTTCAAAGTCGCTGGTCCACCGAGCTCCGTGTGCGAAAAGAGAATGAAAGGAAAACGAAAGCAAAGTAAGAATACAGCAAGCTATATTGCGACTATATGGTTACTTGGGTACTCGTATGGCCGCAGAATGGTTCGTCGGTTGCGAAGTGAAGTATTTCTGAAAGTGATGGGTTATATTTCTCAATGTTTTGATTTTATCCTAACGTTACCTCAATATTATATCACAGACAAGCAGACACAACACATTGAACATTTATCATCGTAAACCCTATCGCCATCTGTCGTATATTGATGGGCAATACACTCAACAGATGGTGTGTAAACGTCAAAGCGTGTAAACGTCAAAGGGAATTGATTATGTGCACCACAAGTGGCGGTACTACCAACTAAGAAACATTTAAATTGACCGTTAAAAACGATTTAGATGAACGTTTTACGAGTGTTATGTCTGCTTGTCGGTGATCATACCTTCACTATCGCAACTTCGGGTAATCTGCGAAAGTACTTGCATTTTTCTCAGGCACTTTTGATCTAACTGCAATTACTCTCTCATACTCGAAATGTGCCACGACCAAATTGGCACAACGACGCCCTATACGCTCTCTGACCGAAGCGCATTCGATTGAGTGGAGTGGAGCAAAATTTATATTTTGAACCACCCTTATGGATATCGATTCCAATGATGCAATGATTGGGGCTCGTAGCGCCAATGAAGAATGCGACATAGGATACACCTTCATATGACCTGTGATTTAAAAAAGGATTATTCACCGTTATTTATTGACTCAACTGGAGTGTTGATTCATTTGACACCACCCTAATTCGTACAAAAAGAAGCTTCAGTAGAAATAAGAGATAACTTACTGTAGATACTACCCGTGAATTGACATGCATCAACGATAAGAAAACATGTAAAATGACACACTACCGACTTTTGTGCAAAGTAAATTCCACATCATAACATGTGGGGTGTATTAGGGCTGACGTGCCAATGCGGTTATTGGACACTTTCCCATCCTTCACTTTGTGCGTACGGTTAGTTACGCGTCGGAGACTATGCGATACATAAATATAGGTATGTGTAGTCATATTTCCTTCACACCGCACTCAAATCACTGATTCATTATGCTGCATATTTGCGGTTGCAACGTGACAACGCAAATAGGCCAGTTGGTTAATAATTCAGAACGGATCAAATTTAGAAAAAATTGAAGTTAATTAATGAAATGGCAAATTCAGCGAGGACATTGCTTTGTTACTTTATTTTAAGGAACCTTTCAATCATGATGCGGGTACATTGAATAGATTGATAAAACATATTAATTTAACAAAAAAACCACAACATTTATTTATTCGTAGTTTGTAGCTGTATCGAGAATATTATTTTTCGAACTTCACTAAAGCCCGTATCTCACAAACCATTTGTTTTTCTTCTTCTTTTTTGCACACATTTGAAACATTAGCGAAACACCTATCAGTGTATCTGGCGTTTAAGCTGCGAGTCCAGGAATTATGATTTCCCACCTACTTCATACGTAAATCAAAGCATTTCTAATATTAATCCATTCTTCCTACTTTGCTCTTCTATCTGTCTACTTTCGCTCTGGAAAACCCAACCTATACGCTATTAATCGGAACCATTTGCATTTTCAACCTTGCAGCGCTACAGCACCAGCAGCTACCAGGATGTAGATGACGGTATCAACCATTCGATGAGCAACAATGACAAATCCACGCTGATTCAGGTGTGGAAGCCCAAAAGCTACGGTGCCGTGAAGGGACAGATTCCACAGCACGATCGGCTCACGTACACGTGGAAGGAAATCGATGTGTTTGGCGAGCTGCCAGGAGATGCCAAAAAGGAACCCCTGTGCAGCAGATTGTGTTCGTGTTTTTCAAGTCAGAAGAAAGATATCAATCCACGCAAACACCTGCTCAAGAATGTCACCGGAATGGCAAAAAGCGGAGAACTGTTGGCAGTGATGGGCAGTTCCGGGGCAGGAAAAACGACTTTGCTAAACGCATTGTCATTCAGGTCACCACCGGGGGTGAAAATCGCTCCTACATCGGTTCGTGCATTGAATGGAATACCGGTCAATGCGGAACAGCTGCGTGCTCGTTGTGCCTACGTACAACAGGATGATCTATTCATTGCTGCGCTCACTACTCGGGAACACCTCATCTTCCACGCAATGCTACGTATGGGCAAAGATGTGCCCAAGAGCGTCAAAATGAACCGCGTCAACGAAGTACTTCAGGAGCTTTCGTTGTCCAAGTGCGCGGATACGATCATTGGAGCTCCCGGTCGAATGAAAGGCCTATCCGGTGGCGAAAGGAAACGGTTAGCATTTGCATCGGAAACGCTGACCGATCCTCACTTGTTGCTCTGCGATGAACCCACTTCCGGTTTGGATTCGTTTATGGCCCACAGTGTACTTCAGGTGCTGAAGGGAATGGCTCTAAAAGGAAAGACGATAATATTGACCATACACCAACCGTCATCGGAATTGTACTGCCTGTTCGATAAGGTCCTGCTGGTGGCCGAAGGACGGGTTGCTTTCCTGGGGTCTCCCTACCAAGCGGCGGAGTTCTTTTCACAGTAAGTAAATTCTGTCATTTACATCCAAATTTCGCACTTTGCAGACACTTTGCGTGAAGTTTCCTCACCATCCCTTATCAATGGATGAGTTTGGTAAAGAGAATGCTCTAATCGGATCGAGCATTCTCTTTACCAAACTTATCCGTTGAGAGTCCCAGAAGAGTTTTCCAAACAAATTATGAAGAGAAACCTAAGGAATTAGCGACGAGAAATGCAAACGACTGTGAGTAGAATTCCAAGGGAAGAAGTGAGTTTCAAAAAGAAACCGAAAATGAATTCCATGAATATTCTGAGAATCTTTCCAAAGGGCTTCTCTCTGAGGAGAATCTCAAGGTAATTCCGAGCAAATTCAAAGAAAATTAAATTCGGAGGATAGTTTCAACGAAATTTTGTTGAATATTTCAATGCAATTGCGAGAAGAATTTTAGGTATATTCTGATGATATTTGAAGAGAATTCAGAGAAGCGTTCCAAGCGATTTTCTAGAATAATTCCATGAGTATTTTCTAATTTCTAATTTCTAATATAATATATGTGTTTCGTAGAACATTAGGAAAGATTGATAAAAATGGAGCTGACAAAATCGGGTCATTACTGTATTCTGAGGTTTTCAGAACTACTTGAAAGTTCCCACAATTTCCCTAAATTTAATGAAGTTCTTTTGTAGTTTGAGAAACTAGTCGGATGGTCACAATAGTTCATACTACATCAAATTTTCATAAATAAAGTTTTAACACTTCGCTCAAGTTCTAGAAACTTCTTTAACATATATGTAATTTCTTTAATGTTAACGGAACTGCTCTGAGGATTTCTGTGCTTTCCTGAAGTACTCGAGACTTCTCTTAAGTTTTTGCAGTTCTCATGAATCTCATGAAGCTTTAATTGAACTAACTGCCCTGAACTTTTGAATTTATGTGAAAACCTCAATAGTTTTCTTAACATATGTGAAGTTATCTGAAAATCTGGGAATTTCCTAAAACTTCCCACTCATTTTTTGATCCTAACCAACTCTTCCTGAAATTGCCCCTATTTTTGGAGCTTGCTAAACTTCTTTGATATGCTCCTGCAATTTACTAATGTTCATGAAAGTTCCTGAAGTTCAAGACCAACAATTGAAATGGCCTTAACTCCATTTTGTAAACAAACCTTGTAAGGCCATTTTCTCGCGAACCGAAACCTTCATTCGCAAACCTAAACCACAAACGGGTAGAGGAGAATTTCCCCTACCTGTTCATTATGTTGGTTTGCCTTTGCGGACTTTGGTTCGCGAGAAAATGGCCTTACAAGGTTTGTTTACAAAATGGAGTTAAGGCCATTTCAATTGTTGGTCTTGAGTTCTCGGATCTTTCCTTAATTTTTTAAAATGTTTCTGAGGATCTCAGCACTTCTATGAATTTTCGAGGTTTTTCTGAAGTTTCTGGAACTTTTTTAAGCTGCCGCAATTTTCATAGAATCAAAACAAAATAATAGCTCTATGATTTTCACTGAAATTCTCAGGATATTTCTGACGTTCATGGAATTGCCCTTAAATTATTGACACTAATTCATAACTTCTTCAATAGTCTAGGCTTTCCTTAGATTTTTTAATTTCCTTAAAGATCTCTAGACTGCTCTGAATTTCTCAGTATTCTGTTAAGAACCCGCAATTTTACTGAAGTTAATTGAATTGCCTTGAAGTTTCCACAATTTTTCATATGTTTTATAAACTTTATAAACATTCACGGAACTTTGCCTTAAATAACTCATTTACCTGAACTTATCTGGACATCCCTGAGGTTCGCTAAATTTGTTTAATGTTTCGGATAATTTTCTGCTATAGATATTCATAATTCCCTGACGCTTTTAAAGTGTTCGGGTCAATGATAGATTTCTCGGAATATCCCATAATTCCACAGGACTCCTAGTAAGTCACTGCAAATTTCTTAAAGTTAATGGGATTGTTCTGAAGTTATCTGATCGCCCTCAAAGTACTAGGAACTTCGTTGAATATCGTAAAAGTATCGAAAAATATCTAAATTTTTTAGTACTTCCCTGGAATTTCTTGAAGATATCGGTGGTTGCTAAAAGTACTTGCATTGTTTTTTAATTAATGGAACTTCGTTGATGTTCTCTAATCAACGTAGCTAAATATTTACTTCTTTTGAAGTTCTTGAAATTTGCATGAACCCTTAAAATACTTTCCAGAATTCAAGTTACAGTTGTACTTGTTGGATCGCATTATTTTTCTCTGATATAACAAAACATGCTTCATTGAATCCAACTTGAAAAAAAAACATGGGAATTGCACTTTGTAACTTCAACTGCCATTTTCTCAATGCCTACTTTTTCCATATTTAACTGATATGGGATTATAGACAGTATACCTCACCGTGCAACATTTTGAAATCATCATCACTTTCATAGTCCTTCTATTCTCCACGGGGCCAACTTTGATTTGCCAATAGAAAAAACACAGTCTCAGAAAAAGCAGGATAGAGATAGAGGGAGAGAGAGAGAGAAAGATACTGTATAGCTAAGAAGAAGAGGAGACAATACGGGGGCGAAAATGAACCACTTTTCTGTAAAACGCGAACCAGCTCGTGATTGGCCGATTTGAAGTGCGTAAGATAGAGATAGAAATTAAAGATTAAGAAGCCAGTTGTCTCCACTTCCTCTTAGCGTTACAGTAGAAATACTCAGAGGGAGAGATGGGCGGAGAGAATGTTTTAAGCCAAGTGCCAGTTAGTTAGGATTTCTTATTCTTACTAGATTAAATTTGAGAGTATTGCAATCGAACAGAAATTCAATCACCTTTATGTTCCGTGTGCTTCTCAAATTCAACTAATTTTTGGAATAAAAAGCAATATTCTAACTCTATTGATTAATTAATTAATTATTAGTTAATTAATGGCACCAAGACATGTGCAAAATATTGCGATGCAAACAATTTTTTTTTGCACGTAAATCGAATCAAAAATAAAAGTAATGTGAAATACTAGCTTCTAGCAAGGGTTGCAAGATAATTTAGGTACAAATCCCTGCTGCCGAATTGTATTTTGTTATCTCCGCCCATCTCTCCCTCTGAGTATTTCTACTTTACATCATTGGATTGGTTGCTCTCCAGCAAAAAAAAATGAAATGTACTGCACATTTCAAAATGCTCTTTCACGTTTTGGTTAAAAATGAAAGTGCGGTCTCCTAAGACCCCGTGTTTTGCTCGCAGAAATTTCAGTAGCACCCGATCCCTGAATGTAGGACTCTTCAATGTGATTGAAAACGTTTATGAAGTTATTCAGTTCTTTCCAGAGTGATTCAGTACTTTCTGAAATTATGCAGTACTTTCCGAAATTTTATGAGGCGATTCAGTCCTTTTTAGAAGCGATCCCGAACTTTCCTGAAGTTCAGTATTTTCCTAATTGAGTCATATTCTATCTTTGGTAGACATTTGATATCGCTACCTTCAAACCATACCGTGATATTGAGTTCTATTTGATTCTACTCGAGCAGTGTTGCCATTGGCTGGCTAAATTTCAAACATTCACGGCAAGCCTGGCTGGCTCTTGACTCATACTCTAACTTTGCTGAACATTCGAAGTCACCACCTCGAAAAGATACCGAGATAGTGTGCTTTATCTGGATTTACTCTATTTGTGATGCCATATCAGAATATAGAATCAATGACGGCAACCCTGATTGGCTCTTGACTCGTACTTCAACCATAGAGGTAACTCTAAGACCAGAAGGTCCCGAAGAAACGTGCTCAACTTTTCGACTCAGCTCTGGTACTATCTTCGGTCTCAAGCTAATCGTTGCACCCCTCGAAACATAGGAAAAGCTACGAACCCCTCATTTTATCTGTCAAACTGTTCATAGCGAATCAAAACAAACATAGTATAGTACTAGAATTTCGATTAGAATGAGGTACGTTAATCGATTTGCTTGGGACCAATAGACTAGTCAAGTAGTGAGCCAATTTTAAATCGTTAGTTTCCACCGGTTGCTTTAACTTTACATAACATTCGCAGTCACTATATAGAAAATATACCGAGCTATTGAGCTTCATTAGATACTACCCGAGCTGTGTTGCCATCAAACGGCAGAATTTGTAGCCATTCGAAGTCTCCATTTCGAACGATACCGAGCTAACCCACTGACGATTTATTTTTCAACATCAACAGACTCAAAGATGGACAACTTAAAATTAAAAATCAAGGTCACAAATTAACAACAAAACATAATTTAAACACTGATATACAAAATCATCCACGGTTCACATAGACAGAAAAAATGAAGAGTAACATCTCCGTAGCATCTGTCGTGGTAAATTGAAATCAAATATCGAAGAGGTTCGATTGCCATAGTTTGTGCGAGGAAGTGGCAATATTAGCATACCGTTGTTACGCAGCGCTTGGGGTTGAACGTTGATGTTAACTAGCTCCAAGATTGCAGTGCAATCAATTCTGCCCAGTAATGTGTCCGTGATGAGCAGGGCTCTTGATTTATCTCTTCTAGTTCGTAGAGGCTCCAGACCTCCAGATCGATCAAGTTGCAGCGACTCCAATAGCTAGGCAAGTGAACCGGGTCTCTCCAAGGTAGCTTCCTCAGAGCGAACATTATTCCAGAATGGATCGCACCAGGGAACAGCACAGCACGTTCGATCATTGTGCCCCGAAGATCATAGTCACCGTCACCAGTTCTTTCTTTCGAGTGAAAGTAATCGCTGAACACTTCGTTGGGTTAACCGTCATTCGTCTAAAATTACACCAACTGGCAAAGGCTTCAAACTGACGTTGAAGGCAGTGACAGTCATCAATCAAGCCGATCCGCAAGTAGATTTTACGATCATCTGCATACGATAGTCGGTGACCTTCGATAACCAAATTCACGTCATTGAAGTAGAGTAAGAAGATCATTGGTCCCATGCTATTCCTGACGTGACTAGAAAAATATCAGACCGGCAGGCACTCAAGGGCCACCACTAACTGTCGATCAGTTAGATAAGAGCAAAACCATTTCTAAAGG